TGTATATTTTTTCGGGTTCCTAATACAGTAAAATATAAAGATGAGAGTGACGATCATAAAAATGCAAAAAAGTGTACTAAAAATTTTCAGATTTATAAAGCACAGCTTGTATGAAGAGGGACTTTTGTTAGTGGGTGACTGAGCTTCAACTATTTCCATTTGGGTTCGATCAAATGAGTAGTTATTTCGGGTTCATTTCTCAGGATGAGCTTGGCCACTGCAATCTAGCTCTTTACATTACTGTTAGTTTTGATAGGTGAAATATATTCTTCAGAACATTGATTGCCTCGGATAAATCTCTTTAGGCTGTTAATCAAGTTTCAAACGATGGACGGAGAAGGAATGTGTGAGAAGCCGAGATTCGACTCGTAAGTAGAATTAGTGGGACGAAATGATAATAGGGCGCATGGGTTGCCCAATGATATTTGTTGACAAAAATTTTACTAAATCCACGCTCGGGTGGTGAAAATTAGTTGAAGAAAGTCAGTATTGTTAAAAATGGTAATGATAATAATGATGAGTGGAAAACGAGAATATGCAGAACCTTGGTTTGCAAACCTGGTAAAATCGTCTGCATTTTCATTGAATGCTCTTGACGGAATTCTCGTTTGCAGGTGTCAACTTTAGCACACTATTTATACTCTTATTGCGCTTGTCACGACCAAGAAAAAATTGCTGAAAATTGTAAGAAAAACTAAAAAGCACTGCATTTCGTGCTTGGACAGACTCCTGACGAAAATTGCAAACTCGAATTTCATTGCCGTAAATTTCACTTTACATTGTACGGGAGGTAGGAGTCAGGCATATCCAGGGGCAAATTATATTTGAAATTATGAGTTTTTACACATAAAGGTGAAATTCTAGAATGAGTATTTCTGAAAAAATTCAAACAATTTTTCTCCACTATTGCTATGTTTACGTAAGGTTGGATATAAAAGTGAGTCCGAAAGTGTCCAAATGAACATAACGGACCAAGCAGACGCTGATGAAAATGTTTAAGAAGTGTTATAAATGAATTGAATTCATCAAACCTGGATAATGACAGCAACGCTGCTAAAAAAGTCTTTTGGATAAAGTTCAATTGCAAAAGGGATCCTTATCCCATGCCTGTGGAAAAGTCGGTAGTCAGTGTAATGAAGGGGTGTGTTCTGTGTGGACTACGAGTAATTCGCAAGATTGGCATCAATGTGAAATTAGATGATAAGTTGAACAATCAATAAGGTTGATGTCTTTCCTACGTTTTCGTATGTCTAATATCACTTCATATGCAAGACTTGAAGTAACGTATTTACGCAGATCACGTCGTTTGCTTTGATGTGCCAAATAAATCGGCTAAATAAGTGGTTCATTACTGATGATGCTTCATGTTTATTTGCGTGGTTTATATTAAATTTGGAGGAAACAGCTTTAGAGATCCCTTAAAATTAAAAAGATTTGCTC